CCCCAAAACCCCAAAACCCCTTTATGATAGATAACTTAGAAAATAGCAGAAATTCAATTTGAATTCAATTATAATAATAGTTAGCCAATCAATTTTTCTTTTAAATAATCCGTAATCAAGTTTAACATCAATAATTAATTTCTTTTTCCAAATACTAACTTATAGAGTAATCTCCTTCGTCTGTAACTTTTAGTTATTTTTCACTCAGCATATATGTATCTATTTTTCTTGATTAATCATCCCAGTCTTCGATAGATTAAGTATCTTTTTTCTAGTTAGTAGTCAGATAATTATTCAATACTGAGGAAGAAAGATAGGTTTGATTATTTTCCATTAAAAATTTGGGTTTGGGAAAGCTAGCTACTTTCATTAGGTCTTTGTTGAGATTTTTGAGAATGCTATCTTTTATAGGGTTCTTGACCTAGACCTTAACCTTCTTTTCAAACTCAGGGTCTAGATTCTTAAAAATTCTCTTGTCCAATTTATTATTATCCTTGCGCATTAATACATGTTTTAGATAGATTTTGATCTATCTCCTTGAACTTTTGCTTTTACTATTCCACTCTACGTTATTTTCTTCATTCAAGCATGGAATAGAATCATCTTTTAGCTTCAAATTCTTTATATTCATGACGTCATTCAACTTTTTGCATTCTTTGATTTAAACTAAATTCTATTTGAAATAGGGAGTAAGTTTTCTCTAATAGTTCGAGAGTGTTATCCTTTTTAGTAGTTTAACCATCTAAATATTTCTTAATATTGTAAAGATCTCTAATTTTTTGTCAAGCATTTCCTAAGCTTTCTTGAAAAGTTTCATTCTTTTTTTAATAAGTTCCCTTTACTCTTTTTTCTTGCAACAAGCAAAGATACTAAAATAAATTTCGAAATCTGTTAGGAAGAATCTTATTCTATTTTTTACACTGACTAATAGCCTTTAATAATATTGTTGATTGTTCTATGAAGCATCTGAAATATGACTGGATAAATTAATATTTGAAGAATTCATATCTTGAATTTTAATAGAAGGTTTCTACTTAATATTTTAACTCTTTTAAATGGCATCTTTATTTGTAATTTAGAATATGTCTCCCACTAGAGATTAATAAAAGAAGTTTTCTTATGCCTTTGATAGGAGGACTGCAACGATAATTGAAACAATTCCTAATATACCTCCTGTATTTGAAAGAGCATCTGAGATAGTATAAACTTCAATAGATGTAGTTAAAATATTGTCATCTAGTAGAATGTAATATCTAAATAAAGTCTAATACTTTTTATAACTTCCTAGAGCTGTTTCATCAGCTCTCACTTAGTAGTAAGTTATGTTCTCTGAAGAGAGTTGATTTGATAATGGAGAAGTATTTTTAATTAGAAAATTCTAGCCTATTTTGATTTAAAAAGACTAACTTATTTCTGATTTACTGGTTGCGTAGAAGTTTTTAATGATAGTTTTGATTGGATTACCTTCTTTTTCATTTACATCAACAAATTAGTTTGAAGTTAGTAGGTTTAGTTCAAGAAAATCTAATGCTTTCATGATATCAGTATCATTAGCACATTATAAATTTGGCTTTGTTTTGTTGAGAATAGCTTAATTGCAACCACCAACTAATACCTAAATATATCTAGTTTCCTTTGTTGCAAAACTTCCTTATAATGTTGAATTTATAGTTACTGGACATTTATAATTGAATTGTATTCCAAAATTATCAGTTTACACAGTTTCTCCTAAAAATCTACCAGGTGGACAATTATCCAAAGGTACATCTTTCACATCCATAGTATAGGTGGCACCATCTTTTGACCATGCAAAGTACACTTCCTGGAATTATACCGATACATATCTATCAATATTTGCAGCAATCTTTGGATCAGTTGAAAATATACTGTAAGCTAAATCAAAGTTAGTTAAATCTATCTAGTATTATCTCTTGTCCTCAACCAAGTTTCTTCTATATTAGGAGTTAGCGATATTGCTTTTCTTTTCTACTACTTTCATTATTTCAAATACTAGGAATACAACTATTCCCATCCTGAAAAGTATCGTTATGAATCCTCCAAAAAATGTCTTAAACGTGTTATTTCTTTTATAAGTAAGTGAGATAGGGTGACCAAACTGATCTTATTAGCAAATATAGTCAGCTAACACTGTTCTAAAATTTCGAGGTTTATTTGGCATTAAAAATTATAGTTGATAAATAATGACGTAATTATATTTTGATTAAAATAACACTTACTAATATTTATTAAGCTAGATTATTTGCAAATAAATGGATTTGGGGTTTTGGGGTTTTGGGG